TGGATGGGGCACACCATCAAATTGTGGTAGACATAAGTGCCGATTTATTCTAAAATACTTCAATGAATGACAGGTTACAGTCCGGACACGAGTTTTGTGTAAATGGTGTAAATTCAGCCTCTAAGTGTGACCTTGACCTTTTTGGTAGTGCCATGAGCCTTAGACGCGACAACATTATTTTTGAATCCTTCAATTGATGACAAAGTTGCAAGTCCGACATGAATATGAGCCTTCAAATCTTCTCGTGAGAATGAGTGCCTTCAAAGTCTAACTGTGATCTTGACCTTGGAGGTTGGGACATGGGTCTTAGACGCGACACGTCGTCGTGATGTAGAAGATATTTATACCAAGTTATTTCAAAATCCTTCAATGTATAACAAAGTTAGAGTCCGGACACAAAATTTGTGTTTGTGGGGACACTCTGAGAGACCGACACACGAACAGAAAAACGGAGATGCGATTTAAATATGCTGCCCTCCATAGGCGAAACACCAAAATAATTTAGTACATTACTAATATTTATGGTTTACTTTTGAGTGAAGTGTTTATGTCATTCTGTGACACGAAGATTGCAATGCATGGTTAGCGTTTTATCACATTACCCATAATTATGGAACGCCTGGACTGTCTTATGTGTAGAATGACTGATATACATGGTTAAATGTCATTCTGTTGAGTCCGAGATACAATATGCTGGGTCAAAATCCCAATATACTGGGTGGAAATCCAAATGCGCTCAGTTATTGAAGTGTAATGTTGTGTGCTGATTACATTTTATTCAGTCAAGTCAATGTATTGTCAGGTGCATTAGTCGTTCTGTTCAGTTCTTAAAACAAACAGGCATGTGGTAACACAATTATGTTGAGTTAAAAAGATATGTTGTAGGGTGTGACAGTTGTTATGTTCGGTTAAAATAGCTCTTCTCATCATGTTCAACCATGAAAATAAACAGTTGAGTGGTACTATCATTTCGTTTGGCTGAGGCAGTGTATTATTGGGTGATACTTTTATTATTTTCAGTTGCAATGACATGCTGTTGGGTGCTTTATTCAGACTGTTCAGTCGTGAAATAGAACTGTTGAATAGTACTATCATTATGTTCAGTTCAGATGATATACTGTTCGGTGCAGAGGTCATTATGTTCAGTAGTGAACACAAACTGTTGTGTGATACCGTCATTATGTTCAGTTCAGATGATATCCTGTTTGGTGCAGAGGTCATTATGTTCAGTTCAGATGATGTACTGTTCGGTGTAGAAGTCATTATGTTCAGTTCAGATGATGTACTGTTCGGTGCAGAGGTCATTATGTTCAGTAGTGAACACAAACTGTTATGTGATACCGTCATTATGTTCAGTTCAGATGATATACTGTTCGGTGCAGAAGTCATTATGTTCAGTAGTGAACACAAACTGTTGTGTGATACCGTCATTATGTTCAGTTCAGATGATATCCTGTTTGGTGCAGATGTCATTATGTTCAGTTCAGATGATGTACTGTTCGGTGTAGAAGTCATTATGTTCAGTTCAGATGATGTACTGTTCGGTGCAGAGGTCATTATGTTCAGTAGTGAACACAAACTGTTGTGTGATACCGTCATTATGTTCAGTTCAGATGATATCCTGTTTGGTGCAGAGGTCATTATGTTCAGTTCAGATGATGTACTGTTCGGTGTAGAAGTCATTATGTTCAGTTCAGATGATGTACTGTTCGGTGCAGAGGTCATTATGTTCAGTAGTGAACACAAACTGTTGTGTGATACAGTCATTATGTTCAGTTCAGATGATATACTGTTCGGTGCACAAGTCATTTGACAATGCGCTGAGTGGTCGTACAATTATGTTGGGTTCATTCGGATATCTTCGCGTCAAACAGAGCAACTAATTTCCATAGGTCACGTCGAGGCTAATGACCACTAAATTGCCAAAACAATTTTCTTCCCCGTAAATACCATCGGGAGCTTAAAAACGTTATTTCCATAAATTGGACAGATCGTATGGCATATTTAATACCCAATGGGTATTTTATCAAGTTAATTTATGACTATACTATACTGTTACAGTCATAATGGGCACAGTATATAAATTTTAAAATATGGGTAAGGGTAGCCTGTTCAAGTCACACATGACTACCGTAAATAAAACATAAAATATGTGTTGGTAACTTTTTAGACTCACAAGTGGACACATCAAACGAAATTTAAAATATGAAACATAATATACAAGTAAGGCAAACCTATTTGAGTCACACATGGCCACAGTATATGGAACGTTAAATATAAGTATGGAAACCCCATTTGAGACACACATGACCACAGTAAATGGAACATTATATATAAGCAAGGGTAGCCTAATAAAGTCAAACATGGCCAAAGTATAAAGACAATTCTATATAAGTAAGTGAAACCTAATTGAGTCACACATGGCCACAATATATTAGACATAATGTTTAAGTCAGGGAAATGTATTTGAGTCTAATTTTATTAGGCTACCCTTACTTATATATAATGTTCCATATACTTTAGTCATGTGTGACTCAAATAGATTTCCCTTACTTAAATATAATGTTCCATATATTTTGGCCTAGTGTGACTCAATTAGGTTTCCCTTACTTATATAGAATTTTCTTCATAATGTGGGTATGTGTGACTTTATTGCGCTACCCTTACTTATATTTAATGTTCCATATACTGTGGCCATGTGTGACTCAAATAGGTTTCCCTTACTTAAATATTATGTTCCATTTATTGTGGTTATGTGTGACTCAAATGGGTTACCAACAAATATATTTTAAGTTGCATATGCTGTGGCCATATGTGACTTTAATAGGCTACCCTTACTTATATGCTCCATATACTTTGGCCATGTGTGACTCAAATAGGTTCCCTTACTTGTATATGGTGTTTTATATTTTAAATTTCGTTTGCTGTGTCCATTTGTGACTCTTATAGGTTACCAAACAGATACATTTTAAGTTTTATTTACGGTGGTCATGTGTGACTTTAACAGGCTACCCTTACCCATATTTTAAGTTTTATATACTGTACCCATTATGACTGTAACAGTATAGTATAGTCCTGAATTAACTAAATAAAATACCCATTGGGTATTTAAAAGTCCAATTTATGAAAATAACGTTCTTAAGCCCCCGATGATATTTACAGGGAAGAAAATTGTTTTGGCAATTTAGTGGTCATTAGCCTCGACGTGACCTATGGAAATTAGTCGCTCCCATCTTGTTGCCCGAAAATATCCGAATGAACCCAACATAATTGTGGTATCACACAACAGTTTGTGTTCACTATTGAACATAATGACCTCTGCACCGAACAGTTTATCATCTGAACTGAACATAATGATAGTACCAAAAAACCACTGAACATAACGACCTTTGCACCGAACAACACATTGACTTGACTGAAGAAGATATAATCAGCACACAAGATAATGATAGTACCATTTAAGATAATGATTGTACCATTTAACAGTTCTATTTCACGACTGAACAGAAGGAATAAAACACCCAACAGCATGTCATTGCAACTGAAAATAATAAAAGTATCACCCAATAATATACTGCCTCAGCCAAACAAAATTATAGTACCACTCAACTGTTTATTTTCATGGTTGAACATGATGAGAAGAGCACCAAACAGCATATTATTATAACCGAACATAATAACTGTCACACCCAACAACATATCTTTTTAACTCAACATAATTGTGTTACCACATGCCTGTTTGTTTTAAGAACTGAACAGAACGACTAATGCACCTGACAATACATTGACTTGACTGAATAAAATACAGTCGGCACACAACATAGCACTTCAATAACTGAGCACATTAGGATTTCCACCCAGCATTTTGTATCTCGGACTCTACAGAAAGACAGTTAACCAGGTATATCATTCATTCTTAACATAAGACAGTCCAGGCGTTCCATACATAATTGTATATGTACATACCTGCGCTCGACTCAAATTTATTACATATCTGCCGATTCTTTAGTGTGTATCTGTACCTTTCAATCTGCACACATCTGCTATTGGTAATAATTACCTCGGATTTAATACAAATTCTGCGTTACTTATTGCACGAATCGGTGCGATATTTTCACATTCCGGCTTTACTTGATATACCCATGATGAAAAGGGGAGGTGGGGATATGACGCCTAAACCTCTCTTTCTGCGTAATGTCCGAGCGGAACAGCCTAAATATTACTAAAACGTCAAACGATGTTAAGACAAATACTTATCACATTATCCGCGGCGCAGGAGTGTAATAAAGCTATTTAATAAAAACGATATTACACTAGTGTAATAACACTTTGACGTGACGTCTTTTGCGCTATATATAGAGAATAACATACTACTGTCTTTTGATATCAATTTTATCAGGCGAGGTTGATATGGGCTAGAAAGGGCGAGGCTTGCCGAGCCCTTTCTGCCCATATCAGCCGAGCCTGATAAAATTGATATCAAAAGACAGTAGCATGTTTTTCTATTTATCATGCAACACATAATAACTGTCAAAATAACAAAATAATCTACTTTTAAAAAGCGAATTTCGTTAAAAAGGGGGATTTTTGTTCAAAGAAATAATTCTTGAAAACAAATTCCTCCGCCCATGAAACTTAGAATTTGTAATTGGCGGCCATTTTTTCTTTCGACTCGGATAAAAGATACAACAGAATGTAGGTCTAATACGATAACATTCTTACCTTTAATTTAAACATCGATCCAAAAATCCGCTTAGAATCACATAAACTAAACTTTACTGCATTTTTTGTCTTGAATTCAGAATTGTCAAATTCAAAAGTTCACGATAATTTCAATCAAAGAAAAGTCAAATCGGCAATCAAACACAAGCTACACAAACATGCGTCTTATTTTTTAAACGAAACAATTGGTTCACTTATTAAATAATAATCCGGCGAAATAAAGTAAACATTTACAAGTTCTCAAAGAAAATTGTCTACCCTGTTTGTTATGATTACATGTAGCCTGGAACGCCGTATTATCGGCGTACTTAAAGTTTCCACTATGTACGCGTTATTTTTCAGTGCCAGATTAAATAATTTATATTTTGCGTGAAAAAGCAAACACCTTTTCTACAAATTTACCGTGAGAAATTCAGTTTATGCTTAACTGGGTCAAAGATGTTTAGCTTCAATACGCATGACCGCATACACAACTTCCTAAAGGGAGAACACTCTATTATCGACGTATTCAGCATTGATCAACTATGGCAAGCCGTTGTTGTAAAAAAAATGACTGAAAACTTGTCTTACCTTATAGTTTGGCTATCCACCGTCAAATAATTATCTTTCTGTACTTTACACACATATTATGGTTGATTTATAAAGTTTCAAGTCAAGAGTATGATTCAACAAGTTCATGGTTTTCAAAATAAAATGTCACCAAACAATGTCAAAGTGTTATTTCAAAACAATTAACTGGATATTTATAAAGTCAACATGGAACAGGAAACAGTTCAACAGTCTTTAAACAGGTTTTTTTTACAGTTTTAAATGTATTTATTGGCAGTGGGGACATAGAAATTCACTATGACGCCGCACAACCCTGACCTCAGTGCAGAAGGACAAATGTGTCCAGTGATGACACTTATCGCATTGAGCCCACTTCACAATAACTAAACTTGTACACTGCTTAAGAGCTGGAGGTGAAAATTTATGGCACACACAGCAATTTGAAGATTCATCCTCAGATCCAGACTCAGTTTCAGCCTCTGAACTGCTGACATAATAAGCAGAAGGACCTGGACGAGGAAGTTGTTTTGAAGAAGATGGTGGAACTGCTTTTGTAGTAGAGGATTTACTTACAGATCTTACAGATTGAGAGGAATTATCTGTGATTGTTGCTTGATTTGCTTTGGGCTTTTTAGCTTGAAGCACTGTGATGTTGTTGGGCTTTGACAAACTACCAGCTAGAAATGGTGGTACAAACTTCTTTCTAGGTTTCCTACTGGGATCAGAGATGCCAGTGATGGTCTTGGACTTGAAGAAAATACTTCTAGGACTAAGTACACCTTCTGGAATGTTTTCTTTGTCAGTTTCTTGGGCATTTATTGGCACATTGGTTTGTCTTGGAGAACACTGAAGACATTGAGATTGAGGATCAACCGAAGACACATCAGGAACACTTGGATAAATTGAAGAGGGTGCTATCTGGGACTCTTTGATGGTACAATCTGAGAATGGATATATTCCAGTCTTCCGGAAAGACGAAATGAGGTTTTCAGGACACAGAGCTTTCAAGTATGGCTTTGAAGTTAATTTAGACACCTCATACTTGGTGATCTTTTGACCTGGATGTTTCTGTAAATACAGTTGACATTCCCTATAGTACATAGACTTCAAAGGTCCGAATACCCCAACATCTAAAGGCTGTGTTATGTGACTTGTGTGAGGTGGAAGCACAAACAGAATTATGTTTTTTTCTCTTGCCCAGTCAACAAGAGAGAGTTGTACATGTGATTTGTGTCCATCAAAAAGAACCAGAGTTGGAGTATCAGATGAGACATTTGCATACTTTATAAAGTGCTTTGTAAGATAATTTTGGAAAATTAGAGAATTAGACCAACCACTATCAGACATTTCACCATCTGCACCAGTGGGAGCTCCATTTAAAAATTCACTATTCCACCGTTTCCCTGGAAAAATGTAATAGGGTGGGATCTGGTTCCCAACAGCATTTCCACCACCAATAATTGTCACAGTTGATGATCTTGGGGAAGTAACTGCTTGTGGCTGAGAGGTTGCATCACATACTATAAGTGGTGGAGCATGCTCTGTATTAATGCCAGTCTCATCAATGTTATAAATGCGCTCGGGATTCCCTTCGAGTCCATTATCAGAAATAATGGTGCAAAGTTCCTTGAAATATTGATCAAGGACATCCTTGGAGGCACATTTAGCTCGAAGTAAAGAGAGCTTTTGAGGTTTTGCAACTTTCAGATTTTCCCATCTCGTTAGGAAACCATAAAACCAACTGTCACTAAGTGGTTTGTCACTGTTCATTTTCTTGCCACAAGCCACTGCAAAATCAGCAGCAAGATATTGTACGTTGGCCTTAGTATAGCCATACCCAATGCTGGCCATGTGCTTTATATGGTCTGCCAACCTCTGCTCCTCTTCGGATGAAAATAACTTCAACGGACCTGGATTTGCCCCAGTCTCAACCCTTCCTGATCGTCTATCCTTGATGGTAGATTCTGGCACCCCATACAGCCTAGAAGCACGATAGGCAGACATACCCTTATTGGTTGCATCATAGGCACGTTGAAGATTTGCTGGGTCATACTGGCGCCTCAGTTTCACTGGGTGTGGTGTACTAAAAGAAAGACGCCTCTTAGCAGTCACTGTATGAGAAACCTGAAAGAAGAATAACAGAGTAAAAAAAACTTACCTAAAAATGCATATCTACAACTTGCTCTGCTCAGGATGGTTAATAATGTAAGTGTAATTATTACATAAACGGCCTTCCATAGAAAAAAAAGTGACGTCATCAGTGTACATTGAAAAGTGATAGCAGACGGATGTTATTTATTGTGGATAAAGCTTTGAAAAAAGGAATACGTTGAGGTATAAGCATATTAATTATTAGGATTTTATAGATTTTTATTAATAATGAAAAATTTTACCTGAATTTGTGACATTTTCTACGAAAATTTAGCGATTTGATGGAGCGTGAACTTCCTTGTTATTGTTTACTCACGTGGGATGGTGGTAGGCGGTGCTATTTATGTAAATTACCGTATTTTCGGAATACGTCGATAATAGAGGTGCGCCGATAATACCGAGTTCGAGTATATAGTATGACGTGAACATCGATGATGTCATTTGCAATATAAATTATGACGTCACTTCAAACTATTCGCTATCTAATTTATTCGTAATTGAAATCGAAATAATAGATAAATAAATTTCGCATATTGATTCAAGATTTGTAAGGGTATGAGATTACATTGTAGAATTCACATGCTGATGAAAATGAGAATATAAGCAATTGAAAAAAGTCCGTTAAAATGGGCGGGGCTAATTTTTGATATCAGGTTACTGACGTGATATCAAAAATAATTATCAGGCAAGTGTTATCGGGCAGTTACCATTGCAGTTGCATGATAAATAATCATAGCGTTAAAGCGCGCTAATGTAAGCGTTACACTATGCGCGTCATTGAAAAATTACTCATTTTAACAGTTTACTGTTCTTATTTTATATATGTGACAAAAAGAATATCATATTCGTGTAGATTCAATACTAAATTTATTGAACTCGTTGAATAAAGCAATGTTATGCTCGCCAGAGGCTCGCATAATATGATTTTATTCAACTTGTACAATAAATCTAGTATTAAACTTCACTCATTCAATATCCTCTATATATGACACGTATTCACTTTACTGTTTTGCGTATTTTGCAACAGTTTGTTTCTTTGTTTAATACTGCAAAGGTCAGACGGTTTGGTTTTTAAGAAAATCTATAAATAGGTACATGTACATAAACTCCCCTGACCGATATTGTTACACTTTACCGACATCATTTAAGATATCAGGTATCTTATACATTCTCAAAAAGCTGTAAACATGCATGCGCTACATTTTAACTGATACGGTGACGAAAATAGAATGACATTATTTTAAACTAACTTAATACATAAGAGATTGAATTAATGCATGAGATTGAAGTAATGCAGTCAAAAAAATATAAGTCGGTCTCTCCAATTGTAATTGTCTTACGTTTAATTAAGTAAGTAGTAGTAGTTCCGTACTACTAATCTTGATTTATCATTATTTTACATAAACAATTGATATATTTATTAACCGATAGTATCCATTTTAAAAACAAAATAGTTATATACGTTACTGACATATCAAACTCAAACTGATATCTTAATATCTGAAATGCGTAAAAAACTGATTTTACTCAACATATAGAATATTTATATATAAATAACAATAACCAAAATGGTTTATTACACAAAACAACAAATGCTGTTCTAACGTTTAAAGGGAGAATAAAAATTGTCAGGGTAGTTATTTGTAACAAATTTTATGCAATAAGGTTGATGGAGTTATCTCCCTGACCAGTAATTTATAACTTAGCTGGCAGTATCCTTACCATATATACCTTAAATACAAGCTGGATCATCAAAAATCATTATAACAAATATTTATGATTTTTATACGCATGTTTCAAAAACGGGTCGTATTATAGTCCCCCCCCACCCCCGTGGCGGATGGGCGGTGTCCAATATTTGTCCTGGGCATATCTCCTTCACCCATTGAGGAATTTTAATGAAACTTTATAGAAATGTTCACCACTATAAGAAGCCGTGACGCGCGAATAATCAGGCCTCTAGGTCAAAGGTCAAGGTCACAATTAGAAGTCATCGAAAAACGCTTGTCCGGAGCAAAACATCTACATGTATACATGTATTTCAATATAACTTGGTACAAATGTTCACTATTGTGAGGCAGAGTGCCGCGTGCAAAATTTATGTCCCTGCGGCTAAGGTCAAGGTCACACATAGGGGTCAAAGTTCAGATAAAAATATGAAAATGTGTATTTGGACCATTTAGTCATTTTTTAAAAGGATTGAAACGCAAATGGTCATTATTATGACTACTGGTGTGAAACATATAATTTAGATTAACATAATTATGCAAAGTCAAGGTCACTTAAGATGATTGCCAAGGTCACTAAAGATGATAAGATATAGAGATATTGTCCAGAAAATATCTCCTACATATATAAAGAGATTCTAATGAAATTTCAAAGAAACGATCACCACCATGGGAAGCCGTGTCGCGCACATGAACCAGGCCTCTAGGTCAAGAGTCAAGGTCACGCATTAGGGTCAAAGTTCAAATAAAAAATCACTAAAGATGATAATATATTGAAATATTTTCCAGATATTGCCCAGAGCATATCTCCTATATGGATATCTATAACACCCACATCTCTCAAAAGCTTCTGTGACGGGCGTATATTGACAATGTTGCCCTTGTTTTATAATTAGAGAAATTATCATTATAAACCGAAAACTAAATACATAGCTTATTAAGTTATTTTTTTACATATTGTTTCCTAAGCTTTTTATATGTAAGGGAACATATAAATCCTCTAAGATGTTACAGATATAACACAATAAATACATACTTGATATCTAAAATACAAAAGTAACTATAACTATACTAATTAAAAGTACTTTTATTCAAAATATAAAAAGAAAATATAACTTCTTAACGTATAAGGGGAGAATAGAATGTGTCAAATTTGTAATTCCCGACATATTTTATAAAATATTATAGAAGGAATTATCTTCTTAAACAGTACGTAGTAACTTAGCTGATGATTACCTGAACTACAAAGTGAGTGAAAGAGGTAATAATGATTATTCACTTTTTAAATAATAGGAAAAGAAAATGGTTTCGCAGGAAAATAAATATAAGGACAAAAATGAAATGTCGTAATACAAATATTTAGACCTAACGACATAGTTTTAAGAACACTCATATCCATAAATTTTCCAAAGTTAGGAGAGCATTGTAGGAGCACATTTGTCTCGGAGCACATTTGTCTCACGATGTGTGACCGATGTGTTCGTAAACATTCTTATTTGCGACAAATTGGAAATGAGACAGATGTGTTCGACACACAATAGAAAGGACACTCAAAGCACATTTGTCTCACATTTTTCCATACAATTGTTTTAAATGTAATAATTATGCCAATCTGTATACCGGCTGCAGCCCTTGTTCTGTGTTTTCTGTGTTTTTGATACCGGTTTCAGGTCACTTCCGGTCTGTCAAAAAACTTCCTGCCTCTGGATAGGAGTCATATATTAAATTAAAGAATATCCCTGTTCTGCATTTCACAATGAAAATTTCTAAAAGAGTAGCATCCAGAACCTAAACACATATGCAGCAAGTCTTTTCTTATCGTTATTCATTGTGATACGTTTATTTTCAATGCTTAAAGCTTTATAGATGATTTAGGGCACTAGAAATATTTTTAGCAAAAACAAAGTCGTATCTACGGTGACATAAAGGGGACATAAAATTTTCTTATTTATTACCTGCGCACACGATAGCTCTTACGTGGCCACGTGATACTATTACGTGCGCACGCGATAGCTATTACGTGCGCACGCGGATATGTATAATTTCGCATCTGGACCCTGACCGGGATCCTCGCATGAATAGTTCGACGCCCCATGTACATGTATGTGTTGAGCTTACAGCGCTTAGGGGCAGGTGGTTTTTTGACATCACTCGGTCACGGAGTCCCTTAAATGATATATGGAAGAAAATAAGAAAACCATTACACACGTATTTTGTTTTCATCAGAAATACGAGTATATGTATAAAAATCGTCATTTTCCAAGAATTGCGGCTTTCAGATCCGCCATTGAAAAAGCACTTCAACATGCAGGAGTTCCTAAAATAATCCCGGTAATGCCATAATTATTGAATATCGGGCCACTTAGAATCGGGCAAGACGCGACATTCCGATGAGACACGAAGCGAGGCACGAAATTGTAACATGAGATCTCGCAATGTCGAAAAACCACATACCACGAGATTTCAGAAATGAATAATTTTTTACATAGGGCAAATATGAATTTATTAATATTCAAATAACGATTTCTGAGAAAGTTAGATGCTTGTAACCCACAGAAATTCGCGATAAAGGTGAAAAAATGCGTCATTAAAGTAGCGAAATGTAAACAAAGTAGTATTTTGACTTCAATACAAAATTCTAAATCACTTCAACTGTACAAACAGCAAAAAGCAGAAGATGAAAAATGCTTCAGGTAATTAGCTAATGGGTAATTTTTTAGCTATAAAAGTATACCAAACATTAAAAGCTTTTGGGGAATACAAATAAAAGCATTTCTAAGGCATAATGGGCCTTTAAGTGATTTTATGTAGACTACAAAGGGAATACTACTTAGCGGTATATGACCTGGAATCAATTTTTTGTCTAACGTCGACGAACGAGATGCGAAGCGAGACGCAAGATTTCGGCGAGATGCGGAACGAGTCACGATATTCAACCGATTATGGTGTTCCGTTCGGACATTAGTAACATTTTTGTCTCCGGACTTAAGTAACAATTTTGTCTCCTTGAACAGCTATGCACAATGGTACAAAGGTGAAATTGAGATATTACTATGATACGATGATTAAAACACGATGGCACGATTGTGAAATCACGATGATGCGATGACACGATAGAGAAAATAATATCTCGTTTTCATCATCTTGCCATCGCAGTTTTATCATATCGTACCATCGTATTTTCACCATAGTATCATCATGTTTTCATCATCGAGCCTTCGTTGTTTCACCATCGTACAGTCGTTGTTTGACAATCGAACAGTCGTTGTTTCACGTTCGTACTATTGTGTTTTCACCATCGCACCATCGCGTTTTCATCAACGTACCATCGTGCCATCGCGCTGTTGCAATTGTACGGGATTTAGTATGTCTACCGTAGTGTACGCCTTCAGGTTAAGCCAATCAATTTCTTGAATAAGAGATCATATTATAATTAATAGTTCATTAATAGTTCGTTAAGGTTTTCATAAAGAAAGCATAAGTAAACCTATTGATGATTACACTTGACATGAGTTAAAACGGCGAACCTCGATCCTAAAAAAGAAATTCTACCGTCGGGAAATATGTGACAAATAATTTATAAAAAATGACATGAGATAAATGTGCTTTCTTGTCCCTTAAAAACACATGAGACAAATGTGCTTTCTTGTCCCTTAAAAAACTTGATCGGAGCACATTTG